AGCCCCACGGCTTGAATAAACAGGACGTAGGCCGAAGGGATGGTCTGTGGTTCTTTCCCTGCCCCCCGCCCCGGATCCCAAAAATTAATCTTCTTGTCATTTCCAGGGACTATAAAATATGTGCTGTGGGCCTCAGGCCGGTTTCAGGCAGATCTGAGAGCTGACCGGGCTTCTCCCTCTTCCATGACCATCAGTGCCATAGGACACAGCAAGATTGTCTGGTTTTAACAGGCGGATGGTCTCAAGCCAGCGTTCAAAGTTCACCTTTATACCAAAGAGTCTCAATGCTCAAAGCGTAACGGTAGTCTGATAATAATCTTGGTTGTTAACAGTAGAGGTATTGTTTTGCAGAAAACTCTAACTTGTTTGGTGTTCTGTGGGGAAACATATCCGCTCCTTCCTAGTGATTTTGCTGTTAACATGAGAAACATGTTGCCTTTTTATCATATTTTCTTTTACAGAGGTTGAAACATTTCACTATATCTTTGAATTATTATTTTGAGTGGATCCATGGCTGTTTAAGATCTCAAAAATAATGAACTATCACAGAGAAGTTTTATAAAACTTAAAAGCATTATATTTCCAAACAGGCTTTTTGCAAAATTGGATTTAAACACTTTCTTGCATATCCTAGTGTGGGCCTGTCCTGGGCTGTGTTACGAAGAGTGTAGCCAGCAGCTTTCTCTCAGTCTCACACCTGTAAGACTGCGTTTGAGGTACTTGTGTCTGGTTTGGGGCTCACCAGCACACGGAAGGCATTGACTGGCGTGATTCCAGTGGAGGCCACCAGACTGTTGAAGGGACACATGACAGAGGAGGCTGGGCTGATGGATCAGGATCGGTTCATCCTCACGAAGAGAAGGCTGGGGGGACATATTATTGTAGTGTGTGGCTGTGTGGTTGGAGGACACAGAAGGTGAAGCCAGATTCTTCTTGGGAGGTAGGGCAAGAGGGAACAGGCACAAGTGGGTACGTGGGAGATTCCAGTTACTTTAGGAAAGAGGATTTTTACTGTGAGAGTGGTCACATTCTGGAAGAGGTTACCCAGAGAAGCTGTAATTTCTTTAGTCCTGGAAACATTCAGGAACTGACTGGACATACCACTAAGTAACCTGATCTGATGAGATCTGTGTTGAGCAGGGGAGTGGATTAGGTGACTTCTGGAGGTCACTTGCTCATTTGGTTTGAAAACAACAATTCCTATGTTTTGTCTTCAACCAGGAAGTAAGAGCCGATACCAGAAATCAATGTTGTGAGGATTCTAGTAGCATCATTGACAGACAGACTTGCATTCACATCTCTGATTTCCCATGTTGTTTAACGTGTTTATAAATCTGATCTAATGGCAGCATGGTAAAAAAAACCAAAGGTCATTGGGAAAGGTCTAGCAGGGCTCATTCAGGAGGGAGAAAGGAGGCATTTGTCTTTTAGTTTTGGGCGATTGTCAAGGTGTTGAGGCCATGTCACACTGTGCTCAGAAAAACCATTTTGTCTGTCAGAGCATACAGTACTGTACACCAGGTTTAAAGGAGAATGAATAGTAAATGTGGCACTGAACAGAATACAGAAATTCATGATTACAAGGATTAATCTTGTTTGAGACACGAAAACTGTTGACTGTGAAACTTGGAGATTAGTTTTCTGTAAAACTGCAATCTATCCTTATGTCTATATAAAGAATGAAAGCTGCTGCTATGTTGGCATCATAGAGTCAGACAAGAGCTGTGGAGTTCACCCCTTCCTCAGGTAAGGTCTGTATAGGCCAGATTGCTTAGTCTTGTCTGCTGGAGTTTTGAGTAGCTCTGAAGGTGCCTCTTTAGGCAACTTGTTCCAGTATTTGATCACTCTCATGAAGACAAAGTTCCAATTGTAATTCCCACTGTTCCAGCTTGTGTCTGTTACCTCTTGTCATCTCCCCATGCGTCATATTGCACGTCATCAGTAACCAACTTACTCATTTGCTGCTGCAGGAGGAGCAATAGCAGTTACCACTCTTAAGTTGTGTAAACATCTCTGTTCTAAATGAAGTCTGTCAAACAAAAATTTGCCTTTTTTATCTTTTTGACAGTGATATTTTCTGAATGTTTGGACAACCAGCTGTTTGGTTATTGGGTGGGAGAAATGTATTTGTTTGGTGTTTTTCCCACAAATCCATTCAGTAAGAATAGAAGAACACAGGAATTTTTGATGGAAATAACCTTTGAATGCTGTGGTAAAAACTGACTTTGGAATCAGTAAGACATGATCCGTTGAAAATACTCAGAAAACATTTTAAAGGGGAAGGTTGAATTTAAGAGTTGATATTTGGGGCTTGTCTAAACTCCTTATAGAAACGTGTTGTCAAATATCCCACATGTATCACTTGAAATGTGATGTAAAATTGCTGGAGTGCTAAAAAGAAGAGACAGATAACCACAAAGCTGCTGTTCACCAAAAATGAACAGCAGTGCATTTATTTAGCCTGTCAGACTAATGGGAACTTTCCTTTTGCAGACCTTAAAAGTTCTTTTTCGTCTTTGTGTTTCTTTTTTCTTTCTTTTTTCTTTCTTTCTTTTTTTGAAGTTCTGTAAGTCTAGACTTACAAAGGTGTAGACCCCAACTTTTGCATGCTTTTAAAAGGATACTTTTAAAATACGGCTGATCAGTTAGATTTCATGTTCATCTGCAGCTTGCTTTGTAGGCGGTGTACTTCTATGGAGGCTTTTACACAGCTGAACTTCATACTTCCTGAAATGTTTTTTTTCAGTCTGATTTCTTTCTTTCATAGTAAATGATGGATTGGAGCTGAGGCCAAAGTACAATGGGATTCTCCACTGCATGACCACTGTCTGGAAGCATGAAGGACTACGAGGCTTATATCAAGGGGTAACACCAAACATGCTGGGAGCAGGGGCTTCCTGGGGACTTTACTTTTTCTTGTAAGTAGAACTGTAAAACGTGTCATGTCCTGCGCAGCGTAATGTTAAGATATACACTGCATCTTCTTTGGGGGGTGTAAAAATGTGCTACATGGCTTACAAACTTGTGATTCTTTTAGTAAGTACAGGTCTGTTACACTTTATTATGGTTTGCTGGTTTAGAATTTAAGAAATTTGAGTCAGAGACCTGACTTTGCCTTACTTTGATGTACTTTGTCAAGTACAGTGCATTCCCTTGATGCTGTGAAAATACTAAGAAACTTTAGAGATGGTGACATCAGTCATGAAGAATCCTGTAAAAGTGCCAATACACTGCTTAAAACCTCACAAAAAATAAAAGCCTAACCTGACGTGTTAAGAATTAGAGAACAGGATCAAGCTAAATGTTTAAGTGATTTTTAATAATTTTAGTGATGGTTGGGTCTCTCATTGTTTCTGTGAGTTGTTCGGCTTTGCTTATAAACCCATTTTTTAATACTCAAGTTTTTGTACTTTATTAGCTGTGATGTGATTTATTGCTGACCCCTATTAATTGTAACACTTTAGGGAACAGTTAGTTGGTACACCTATAAAACCTCGCTTATCAGTAGTTACTGTTTATTTCAGTCATCAAGCTTTGCTATAGGTTCCTACTGATGGTTCAGCTCCTGTTAACAGTATCTCAATCCACAAAAAGTAGAAACTGGATGGAGAGAAGAAAGCTCGATGTGTTTTCAAGTTAGAAGATAGATACCTGTCACTGTTGCTTTCAATAAAAAGGAGGCTATCTATTTGGGTTTTTTTAGAAGTCTTGAGATCCTACAGCTGCTTCAAGATGTGCCCCACTGATACTGACAATAATAATACTTTACCAACTTAGATATGTATTACCATAGTTCACTTTAAAGAGGTGACTGCTCAGAGATAAATTAATCAACTAAACAAATATAGTTTACTTACGTATTTGTTTTCAAAGGCTGCGTACTATCTAATGTTTTCCATTAAGTGAGATGTGTTGTTGTTTGTGGGGTTTTTAAGTGATACAAATTTGTTTTCACCATTGCTAAAATATATTTTACATTTTCCAGTTACAGTGCCATCAAAGCTTACAGGAAGGAAGGGAAGCTGGAAAGTCTTAGTGCAACTGAACACCTAGTGTCAGCTGCAGAGGCTGGTGAGTTTAAATGCAGAGAGGATTAGTGTTTGCTTCTAGCGTTTCCATATGTTGCTCCCTGCCTTTGTGTGTCAGTGCTACTTTTTGTTACAGGTGGCAAATGTAAAGTGTTTGAGTCCAAATGCAGTCATTTATTGTCTGTAAATAAATTAATGATGTCTAAGATGAATAGATGAATCACTGTGGTCTCTTCAGTTTTGCTTAGAAACAGCAGTTGTCAAAAATCCATTTTGACCTTGTTTTCATTGTGTATAAGTGTTTTCCGTATTTAGTAATATGTTGAGTCCCAAAATATAACTGTGGCTGCTATTGGCTTGATAACTCATTAAATGTTTAACACTTAGACCTGGAAAAGAGAAGGCCTATTGAAGTTAATAAATGAATTGGTCTTTATCTATGGTCCAAGTTTTCTTAGAAACTAAACATCTGAAATAAAAATACAACTTCTATCTGCAAGACTTGTAATATGTTGTTACTAACATATGTTCCTGTCCATGCTTCTGTGTTGTATTTAATCTAGGCAGTTAGGAAGACTTTATTAGGGTGTTGGAGCATTTGTTTAATGTTGAAATATAAGGTATATTGTTTCATGTGGAAAACAGTGATTTACAGCTGTATTTTCAGTAACCTATAAAGCTGTAGCAGGTTGCTTCTATTGACTTGCCAATGTGATTAAGCATATTTCTCACGACTGAGGTGTCCATTAAATTTTGAACCATTGTATACCCAAAGAATAACTTAGATTTATGTTAAGAAGTTACTTAGTTTCCTATCTACTACAGATTACACTACATACTGTGGAAAGGTGAGGCAAAAGAAGGAATGTACTAGGAATATGCAGAAAGCCGTATGCTTTACAGAAGGAGTAGATTGGGCTTGATTGTGAGCTCTGAAGGCTGAGAGAGTGAACAATGGTGGGCATAAACTTCACTTGTTTTAAGTAATACTAGTACTCTTATAGGATAAGTAGTTTTAGCATTGTAGAAGCGTGTTACATTGGACTGAACAAACTAGGACAAGCTTTGGAGTTAGCATACCAACCACTCTTAACTTCTGCCCTCAGGAGCCATGACTCTCTGCATTACCAACCCAATATGGGTAACAAAGACACGACTCGTGCTGCAATATAACGCTGGTGTGGACCCATCAAAGCGGCAATACAGAGGAATGTGTGATGCTCTTGTAAAGATATACAAGATGGAGGGCATACGTGGCTTATATAAGGTAATGAAGTTTAAGAAAAATTCCAGGATTGGCTGGCACAAGTCAGTAGCATGGTGAGACTTGTAAATACTCATCTACCAAAAAAATGCAAGTAATTTTTTCCATTAGCTCACTTTTATTTTGTGAGTCTTCTTTCCCACTGAAGAACTGCAGCCAAAAAGGCTTAATCAGAAGAAAAGCTATTATACTGTTGAAATGTAGGAAATCACTGAAGAATAGAGTATAGGCTTTATGACTAAGCCATCTTCTATTGGATGATAATGCTAAAATGAGAGTAAACCACAAGCTGCTTTTTAGGTTTTTTTGAGCTTTCCTATAATTAGAATTGGGATAAGGAGGGCAGCAGTAGTGTAATCTATCTTACTGCTGGTGCTTTTTTCCATTTCATCCCTTATCTCTGTCTTTGTGACATCTTATGGAAGATAACATATGACTAAAACAGTTGCTAATTTTTTCTTCCACAAGGGACGGTTTCACAACTGCTCATTTGCCCTCTAGTTATTGAGGTCTGTAATCTGTCATCTCTAGATCCATAAAATTTGCAGACTTCTAAGTATGGTCTGCATATGTGTGGGGTTTTTATTCCCCTTAATTTAGGGAAACAGATGGCAACTGGATTTGGACTTTTTGCCTTCTCCTTCCTTCAGGCCATGACATCAAGATGCATTCATCAGTGCCTGGAAGGTGTGAAGAAACCTATTTTAGTTCGGTCTGGCTCTCCTGCCAGTAATGCTATAGAACAAGAGCACTATCTCTTAGGAATTGTCCTGATTACTGAATATTATTTTATTTGCAGTGAAAAGTAAAATCATTCCTATGCTGAAAGACTAGTATGCCACATACTAATAAATGCCAAATTCTGACACCAGGAACAAGGCACCTAGCTTATTCCTAAACTGAAGTTGTCAGGATTTCTGATTTGCCTGCCTGGGTGTCCGCTCTGTTTCACGTAGATAAGTTTGAATTTCTTGCATCTGCTAGGCTTTAAGATGTCCTTTCATTGAGTTACTTTTCAGATTTTTTGTGCATGTAGTATGTGTTGCCTTTGGCACTAGACGCTTCTTTGTAGTGTAAATCTGCAAGTGAGAAGTTAAAGCAAGTACTTCCTTTGAAAGAGCAAATTACTTGCTTAAATCTGCAAAGCAGGTGACCTACATAGGTCCCAAGTGACCTACATATCTGTGCACACTGAGCAACTTTGACTTGACGTCAGGATTCTCTCAACCTTGTCTATCCTAGGGAAAAAGGTACCTCTTCAGGGGGCTCTTTGACTTGCACATACCTTAGCCTTCCTCCGTTTTCTAGTTTTGGGGGAGTCTTTATTTTTTCTCTTTCTTGCTTTATTTGAAATGTGGCAGCTGAAGTTTTGTTAATTTCTGTAAGTTGCAGGAGCTGTAGTGCATGTGAATGTCTTCTTTTTCCTCATAATCTTAATTTCAGATAGAGTTCTGTACAGCAAATAAGGGAATCTCAGAGAATACCACCACAAGTTGGAAATAAAATCTGAAAGTAATTTATTTCTGCTGAATTTGAAATTACTCTTATAAAGAATGGTATTTCTGTCCAAGCAATTCCATATCTTGCTCTCTATTGCACAAGATGCTGTTACCACTCTGAGCAATTCCTTTCAGTCCTTTGGGGCACAAGACTTTTAATGTCAGGATGCACTGATTTTTCTAGCAGGGATCAAAGCTGTCTTTATTAGCTCTGTGGGTATTGTTCATTCGTTAAACTATAGTTCATCTGAAGCTATGTTCCTCAATAACTTGTTCTTCTTGAACTTGGCCTGGTTTTGAAAAGGCAGGAGCCTTTCCTTCACCAATTATGCCAGTAATCATCTAGTCAGTGATCTTACCCACCTTCCATCATTAGGGTTTGTCCTTTGGCCTTCATCCCCCGGATGACTGGGGACAGAGCTGCTCTGCTGCACACCAGGCTAAGAAAAAAACAGCTTGCGTTATGAAATTTGAACACACCTGTGGATCTCTTGGAGGTCTGAGCTCTAAAAATTGCTTTGCCATGAAGTTAAATGTCACCCTGTATGGTTCTTTTCAAGTGTAAGGCAGGAGAGACCTAACATTGTAGAATACTCGTAAGATTGTAGGCATGGGCACTTTAAGAGAAACATAAATATTACTGAACTGTTGGAAAACTGTTAGGTGCCTAGTCTGGAGTGACTGACTACTAAAACATCGATCAAGAATGCAGCTAGCGTTCTTCCTGGCCTCCATGTTTCTGTATTTGTATTTTAAGTTTCAGCGAAGATGTAGAAGCAGCAACAAGAAATACAGCTACAGTAAAATAAACAGGAAATGCAGAAAAAACACGGAGATTAAAGGAAAATCTAGTCATCAAGACTGCAAGTAACAATACAGTATGCTAACAACAACAACAGAATTCTAGCAGTAATGTGTGCTTGTTACCAAGTGAAACAGATATACTGGGTGCTTTTGTATTGTCATTTCGCCTTTGGTAGGCAAGATCCAATACTCTGAGGATAAAGTATTTTTTCCTGTCCATTATTACCTAAGGCATTTAGCTCTCTTTCTTTATTTTGCTTATGCTATTTTTCTTCTTCTTGCAAATGTATAGCTTGTCAGCTAAGTGACTTTCTATGTCTTTGTACTTTTATATGGCAAAATCCACTGAGATTTGGCCATTTTGATTTTAACTTTACTCCCAGATTCTACAGATAGATTAGAAGCACAAGTAACTTTCACATAAAAGATGGTATAATTTTTCACCATGAAGGAATCAAGATGCATAGGGAGATAATGACATACTTTCAGAGACTTTCTGCACAAGTTGTCAGAGCAGAGCACTCTGATACCACTGGTCTTTGGCATGCTGAGAACCCAAATGACGACAACGCTAAACAGATTACAAGGACAATCTGCTGCATTCTGTCAAAGCATACAGCAGAGGCTGCCCTGGTGTGAGCGCTCTCCAAGTCAGGCAGCGATGTGGCTACCACATGACCAAATGAAGCTTGTTCTTTACCAAGAAACAGGCTTTCCAGTGTGTACCTTTGCCTGTGTTCCTTTTTATTGTGATTGGCAACCTTAGAAATGCTAACCATAGGACATTTCTCTCTTGTCCTGGATCTTCGACACTTAGAGCTGTTTAAGCCAACTTTAAAACTGTTTTTTCCCCACTGTCTGCTGTTCAGAATTATATGCTTTACCATCTGAATTGCTAATTATATAGTTAATTCTGTCTATTGTTCTAATCCTCCAAAAGAGAATTCAAATAGAACTTCTTTGAGCAACCACTGATCTTGTCCAGCCCTCATGGCAAAAATCTTCTGAAGATATGTTTTGAATATTAAAGTAAAAAATAAGAAGTACATAAAACTAAAATATTTTAAAATTGATCTTAAAAGTCATATTTTAGATGAAAAATAAATATCAAATTCTATCAAATTTTGTGGCAAAGAAGATTTTTGTGTAAAATTGTAAGAATGAGAAAGCAGAGTAGGAATATCTTTCCAATACTTCCTGAGCCAACATATTTCATTTACTGTGAAAAAATCAGGTTTACTTCCAAACATTTTTCCATAAGAGCATGTCGGTTTTTACATGCATTTTTTAATATTGGCCCAACATTAAAAGTCCTTCAGTCTTTGGAAGCTTTCCCCATCAGCACAAGACTTAGAGCGTGCTGGCACTCATTTGACAAGTATCATCAGTAGATGCCTTAGGACTCTTGAATGCAAGTTATCCAAATCTACTGGCTTAAATTTAAAGAGTTTAGCACTTTTAAGTGTTGTTTAAGATTCTTCTTTTGTTGTTGGGGAGAATATTACCTCATTCTCCTGTGATAAAAATACATCATTCTAATTCTTTCCGAGTAAAAAGCAATTACTTTCTCCATCTTTTAACAGTTTTGTTGTCTATTTGTGGGCAAATGTTTGTGAAGTTTTTCCCTGATATGACATAAATTTCATACTGGTCCTTGTTCTGCTGACCTAGATAATTTTTTCTTAGAAATTTTTGATAATTTTGGAGTGGGTTTTTTGTTCCTTCTGTTCTGTTTTTATTTTATTTTATATTTTATATTATTTTATTACTGGTTAATTTTCTTTTCTAATCCAGGATTTCTGAAAAACAAACTTGTCCTTTTCCCTCTGTTGTGGTACTTTGTCTTCAGACTTCACAGAAATTCTATGACTATGCTCACAGTTGACAAAACGTAGCTGTTTGGTTTAATTCCACTTGTTCTCATTTGGGGAAGTGGGGTTTTATTTTTTCAAAGGCTTTAGCTAGCCCTTAATGCATTACGTCCTTTCATGGTCAGTGATTATTAATTCATTACCATTTTTTTCTACTATGAGAAGAAAATCTCTTCCTGAATGGATATAATATTGGAAACTTAAGGAGAGCTAATTTCTGAAATAATAGAAGATCAGTGCAATTTTTATGCCTGCTGTTGTTTTAGGTTTTGTTTGGTTTTTTCCCTGTAAGTTAGGAGTTCATGGAATAATTGATCATTTTGTCCTGTGACACTGTTCCAGTGGTCTTCTACCAAGATCCCTTTTCTTTTTCTTCTCCTTTTCCAGGCTTTTAGTAGTGTATTGATAAATCTTTATTCAACATGCTGGGCTTCCAATTTAGTCTAATATAGAGTTTTGTTTCTGAAAACATCTTTTAATTCCTCTGTCTTACCTGAATGGAAATAAGATAAAACTACTAAATATCAGTATTTTGGGGAAAATTCTGTTTCTTTGAGTCCTTTTATCCACATTTTGATCACTTACTCCATTGTAATCATCCCTTTGCAACAGTTTTCAGGACGCTTTTGGCTCCCTTAAGTCATTTCTAGCCAATATGATTAATTCCCCATTTATTTGTATTTTTCCAGTGTAAGCGACCAACTCTTCAAAAGAAGAATTAGTGCTTGTCAGAACTCATGCAGCTGTCTTACTCATTTTCAACTGAGCTAGTCCTTCTCCAAAAGGAACCTTCTGTTTCTTATAGACACTTCAGAAAATACCTACCTTTCCCCTTAATTTTAACTTTTGTGAAAGAGAAGGTTTCTGAATACTTTCATATTATACTCTTACTGTCCCTTACTGCCTCTTACAAATGGGGAACATTTCACGGACTGCTTTGCAAACCCTGCTGGGCTGTTTTGGGATGTGCTCTGAGCAGGGTGAGGAATGCACTCAAACTGATCTGAAGCTTAGATTTATTTCTTTAACATGAGTTATCCGTAAGTCCTTGTGTGCTCTTCAACTTCCCACTCTGTCTGTGTGTGGAAGACACTGAGGTGCTGGAGCAGCTGGGGGAACTGGGGTCATTTAGCATGGAGAAAAGGAGGCTCGGGGTGGGGGGCGGATCTTATCACTTTCTGCAGCTACCTGGAAGGAGATTGTAGTGAGGTGGGGGTCAGTCTCTTCTCCCACATAACAAGTGATAGGACAAGAGGAAGTGGCCTCAAGTTGCAGCAGGGGAGGTTTAGATTTGGTATTAGGACCAAAAAGGTTGTCAAGCATTGGAACTGGCTGCACAAGGGAGTGGTAGAGTCACCATCCCTCAAGGTATTTAAAAGATGGGTAGATGAGGTACTTAGAGATATGGTTTGGTGGTGGACTTGGCAGCGTTACGTTTACAGTTGGACTCAACAATATTGAAGGTCTTTTCCAACCTAAATGATTCTATGATTCTATACATACACACATTTTTAATACAGAAATGTTTATGTCTCATACACATTTGTATATACACACACACACACGTACATATCTATCTCCAGGACTTGATTGCAAGAATTGTTTTGTACCTCCACTCCTGATGGCCCTCCTAACTGAGACACCAGCTTCTGTCATCACCTTAACAGTCTTAGATGGGAACTGAACAGTTCAGTGTCCGTCCTGGAAAGGGACAGGCACTGAGCAACACATTTGCAAGACTGCAGCTTGATTTGTAATCTTAGAATCCTGATCCATGTTGCCAGCTTTTTAAAACCTGTGCTTGTGTTCTATGAAGAGGAGTCCCTAATCCACTTGTTTTAGCTTGCTCACTCATTAGGTGTTTTTAGGTTTTGTGACTTTTGGAGAAAAGTACGTTTATTATACTTTTGTGTGATGTCTGACATTAAGAGCATCAGCACAGAATCAGCTTTGAGTCATACTGCACGGTGATGAGTAATGCAGTCACAATTTTAAAGTAGTGGAGGACATACATATGTTTATAAGCTGAGCTCTGTCAAGTTGTATAGTGTTTGTGCATTGCTGTTTAACCTTGGTTTATTCCTTTTTTCAGGGATTTGTGCCTGGTTTGTTCGGAACTTCACATGGAGCACTTCAGTTCATGGCATATGAGGATTTGAAACTGAGATACAACAAGTATAGAAACAGAGTATCAGACACAAAATTGGTACAATTCTTAAGATTAAGAATGTGTTGTGGCATGTGAATCAGCAGAAATTTATTCCATTTGTCTAGGTTGTAGTACAGCCAAGTATACAAAGTATTGATAAGTTAATTGGAATGTAGAACATATAGAAAGAAGTAATACTTTTGAACTTTTTAGAAACAAGCTACTGGGTAGTGCTCTTTTCCTGTTTTTTAGGGAAAAGTGTTTTGAGAATTGTAGAGGGAGGAATGGGTTTTTTTGTGTTACTTTGTGGAACCATAGGTGGTGGTCTTAAAGACTTACATGAAAAACTGGTTAGGTTCAAGTTGGGCAAAGGTAGTTGGGGGGGAAAATGTAGACTACTGTTTAGTTCAACACTTAAAAATCAAATAAGATTTTTGGAAATGGGGTAATTTAAACCATATTTAGGGGAAGCCTGGTATTTTTGTTGCTTTTAGAACACTGTGGAGTACATAATGATGGCAGCTGTATCCAAAATATTTGCTGTGTCAGCAACGTATCCCTATCAAGTTGTGCGAGCTCGTCTTCAAGATCAACATAATACATATTCTGGTGTGTTTGATGTGATCCGCAGGACGTGGAGGTAGGCATGCAGAATTTAAAGCTTATGTCTTAGAAAGTAAGTCTTAAAGAATCAGAGCTATGTTTACTGGCTTCCATGCCAACTTGCAGAACCAGTGCAGCTCAGAGCAAACAAAATATTAGCTGTACAAAGCCTTTTTTGCAAGTTGCCGCTAACAGCAATAATCTAAGGACAAAGGACGAGATAGGAGAGGGTCAATGGTAGCCTGCAGGCTTCTGTTATTCACTCTGTCTCCCTTCTCTCTTCTCAGCAAATTTCACTTACAGGTTAAAAAATAACATTGAGTTGGCTGTGTTTGGGATCTTAAACAGTCCGACAGCGGTGTTGTGCTGCTGGGAGTTGTGGCTAATCCAAATTCCTGGCAGGAGGAAATGAGCTAGCTAGAGCTGTTTTACACTGATGTCCCTGGGTTACCATGGGGCCTCACTGCATTTGTAGTCTAGTCCCGGCTTCTCACAGGACCTTTAGAGAACTGTTACCTCACACCTATGTATATCTTCTCATAAAGCTTCTTCCCTCAGCTCCACAGGGCATGTGAGAGTTTTCACACAGAAATCTGTAGTTACTAAGGTTGGCCACTTGTGCAGTATGCAACCAATGATGGGTTAAGGTTTTATGTATTACGGCTCTGAAACACTATAGGAAGAAATTACTCTGAAATTACTACTCTTAACCTGAAGTAGCTCTCAGAGCACAAGAACAAAAATTCTAGGCTTTGTTTTACATCTGATTTCTATTAAATACATCAATTAAAGCTAAATATTTTTCTATGTCTTTAAAGGAAAGAAGGAATTCATGGATTTTACAAAGGAATTATCCCCAATGTAATCAGAGTGACTCCTGCCTGCTGTATTACCTTTGTTGTTTATGAAAATGTGTCTGGTTTTTTACTTGGTTTTAGGAAAGAAAATAATTAAAGGTAGGAGCTTGTGTTCATAAGGAATCTATCCTGTATTTTTTGTATTTATGGTCTGGGAGAAATTTAATTCAGCAGTTGTCTTTGATACTGTGAGTTGATCTAGTATTTTGAGGAAAGAACTTGAAGATAGTAAAACCCTGCCAACATCTCTTCCGCTGAATGTTCTTGCATTGCTGCCTTCTCTGAATCGGCTGTGCCTGCTTGAAACAGATGTCTCTGCAACTGTGAAATAATAGCACTGTGACTGGGTAAAGGCAACTGTGCAGTAATTCAGTTCATCCTCGCCTGCCTGGAATAACAGACAGATGTGTTTTGACAGGTCTTAAGATAACTGTTGGTCAGATTCCACTCCTAGAGAAGTGGAAAACTTCATATAAAAACAACCCTGGGGTCTGGCAGAACTTTCTTAAATCTTTATCTGAGTTTCATGAAGAAACAAGCAAGATCTTCTGAACCCACCTATGTGTTATTTGTCAGATTTTAGGATATAGAATGCTCCAAATTCCGTTGCTCATCCAACACAAAAATGCTGCCTCGGTGGGGTGCAGTTTGGAAACTCGTAATTGTTTTGTAAAACAGCTGTCCATTCTTGGGTTTGAATGATTGCCAATCTGATGAAACACAGTTCTTGTCTCATACCAGACAGACTTACATTGTGGTTTTTGGCTTGCTTAACACCAGACCAAAGTATATTTTGTGTGCATCGCTGGCCACTTACTGAATTCATTTTCTCTCTTGTCCCTGCCTGCCCTCTCTCTCTCAATCCCTCCCTCCGCCCCCCCCATGAGATTCTGTCTGTTGCTGATACATCTGACCAAATACTAGTAAGTAAATGTGTATTTGAATGTAGGCTAACATTTTAAATTTTTTTTTTTCCTAGTAATCCCATAGTGATGCAGTTTTCAAACCAGTGTTAGTACAGCTATGAACATCCTTATTTTCAATAATGTTCTCTGGAAAAAAGTACTCTTAACGAGTAAAAAAAAATACTGTGCACAGGACTTAAAAATGATTCATTAATGTCTTCTAATTTAGTCTAAGGAGAGGACTGTAAGAATATGTTGATTGCTAACTTAGTGATAAACTAAATTACAGTACATCTCAGTAAATTTGTATAATAATGATGTTTATTGGTATGCTAATAATTGCTGTCAAGGATATGTACTTTTTGGATATTTGGGTTTGTTTTATTTTTTTAGTTCTTCTTTAAGAAAATGCATTACTGGCCATAACAACAGCCTCTGCTGTTAGTATGAAGGTATTAAGAAGTATGTAGAAACATCTCTTACTTACTTAACTAAGGAGGAAGTAAGTTAGCAAAGATTATTCCACAGGTAGGGGGAAATAATCAGTTTTGTAAGGAGTGGAGGATACTATCCAGCAAAACATCATGCAGAGAAGTTTCCTGTTTAACGGAAAACTGACCTAAAGTAGAAACAAGCATTTTCATAAAAAAACCAAAAAAAAAGTAACAGATTAGGGAATTGGTTTCAATTTTAAGTTAAAATCTTACAGAACTGCTCAATATTTTTAATCTTAATTCAGCAATCCACTTGCTTGTTCCTGTTGATCCTATTGCCACATACCATATTTTGTGTATACTTAACTTATTAATAATTTACACTTTCTTCTCCACGATCCCATCCCTTCTACTGATACAGTTGCTAATCTCATCTGGAAAGAGCACGTAGCTGTTAAGGCTGGCTTTGGTTTTTTATTATGAAAGTTTCTATGTGCATTTAGCTGAGGATCAAATTTACTGGAAGTTTAGCGTGAAAATTACCGTGTAGATCCCTAACAGCTACTAACTTCTGCCTTTGGAGGGTTTTTACTTGGTTTTGTGTATTTTCTACTACACAGAATGAATAACCAAGTTAACTCTGCCACCGAGGATCCAAAAAATGTTGTGAAGACGTATGAATATAAGTTGTGCACTTCTTACCCTGGGTTAGTGTACTCCTCATGCTCCAGGATAAATGCAAAGACAGGCTACAAGCATGTACACAATCAGTTACTGTATGTTAACTGACATTCTGTAAATTCACACCACGGCTTAGCTCATAGTAACTTGTTTGTGTCCAGATACGTTAAAACCCATCTTCCGAGCCAATGAAAACAGTACAGTTCTGCAGAGACAAAATGCCAGCTGTATAATTTGCTGGTTTACAGCAGTACCGCACATAAGCTTGCAGTTGGGAAAGCCCGAATGCTCTCCTAGCCGCAGGTGTGTTCCTCTAGCATTCTTCACAAAAGCTGCAGACAACAGCTACCAATTTGAGATGTATGGGGAAAATCTTATAACCAGATCAGAAAAAAACCTGAGACTTAATGTTAGCTGAAATAAATTCATTATCTCAGATTTAATGTTTCTTCCTTTTAATTTCTGGGAAGACTGTAGATTTCTGCATGTTATACATGCTGTATCTTGTTGGGGGTTTTTTATTTCATTACTGTAAAATTGATTCTGTAATGTAAACATGGCTGTTGTTTCCCTTGAGAAGCTTTAAAATTAAAAAAAAAATAAAATAGTATATCACCTGTTGCATTTGGAAAAAAACACTTAAAGCACTGAGGCTAATGGTGTGCTGCCATGATCAGCATTGTCACTTGTCCAGTCTGGAGGTTGCAGTCAAATAGCTGTGACATCATTCTTTCACTTTACCAATACACTTTTTGAAAGGCATTTCAACCTGCCTTATTTCAATATCCTCCAAATTGTTTAATAGGTCTAGCTTTTATTTAACACCAAAGTGATTGTACATATGTGAAAGGCTGAATATAGGAGAATTATTTTATTGGAGCAATTAAATTAAGTTTCGTAATGGTAAAGTTTTTTAGCATCTGCATGCTTATACCGAAATCCAGTCTATTGACAAGCAAAAGAGGGAAGGAGAGCTTACATAGTCTATTTTTACTTAAGTCATTCAGAACAAGGTATTTAACACTTACCACATCATCTAGGTCACAGTTAAGTCACTGGGAGTTAGCTGAGAGATTTAGAAGTGTAACAGCAGAGCATCCTATTCTGTAGTCAGGTTTACCAGGTGTAGATGTTACATATGTTTTCTGACGGTTAAAGCCAAGATCTGAGTTTACTTTCTTAGAACTTTCTATGAAGTCTTCTAAGAAAATTGTGTTTCCCAAGACCATGTAAACACTTTAAACACTTCGATGGTCAATAAAATAGCTTGGATCTTTTATTTGTAAAAGGTCTTATTTATTTGATACAAAAAGTTACAGTTAACTCTTAAAATGGTGGTGGTATATTTTCATACATCAAACAAAGAATTAAAAGATGTAATGAACTTGATGTTTATATTCTAAAATGACTATTGTAAAAAGCCTCTGCAATGTGCAAAAAAAAGGCTAGACAAAGACTACAGATGCAAGAGTTTGGTGCCTTCCACTCAAATATTGCATCCAACTCCATAGAAATAAATTCTGAAGAAAATGATACAAAATAAAAAAAAAGGGGGGGGGAGAGATAGAAAAAGGAGGGAAAGTTATTTTGGCAGTTCTTCAATGATAATGCGGGAGACTGAGTTCCATCCAGTAGAAGCATCTCCCCGTGGATAATCTGAGCAAGTCCCGACCCAGATGGCAATGTCCACCAAACCAGCATTGATCCCTTCACAAAGACCTTCCACTGGTTAAAGACAAAAATCAGGTTACCGCAGCAGACACAACCACTTTGTATTTTATCACTGAAGATGGACACCGGTACTTGAGAACAGCAATTCATTGCAAGCTCATGCTGTTTAGATAAACCTGAATAGCACTTTTAGAAATAAAAACTATTGCTTAGGGATGTGGCAGCGTAGGTAAGAGTCACGCACTACCTTTATCCATGCTGCTTCTTGATGTCTGTTGCAATACCTGCAGCAGGTCACAACCCACAGAATGGCTACATGGGAGGTACACCTGCATCTATAAACATCCAAATTCACTAACTGATAGCTGGGATATGGCTTCAATCCCATCTAGCCATCTTTCTAGCAGTGATGGGGAGGGGAAATAGGGACACAGCCATAACTGGCTTCCACAGCTAAGCCCCACAAAGGTGATTGCCACCCTGTAATCTTTTCCACTCTTAATTTATTGCTTCTGTGTAAAGTTCCACTTCTGTTGTCCCCTCTTTCCCCCCACTAGCACCACTAGTTGGAGGTGGGTTAATGAGGACATGTGGGTCCTACCCCTTAATGAAAAAACCCTATCATAACTCTGGATGTTAGATTCATATGCTATATGAAATAGTATAGGGAGAATAATGGAGAAAGTACAGACTTGATGTTAGTCCCCTGTTCCTAATATCACCTCCTTTTATGTTAAGTGACTTCACTAATTTGCCTTTTGCTTAGCAACCGAGTACTGTTTCCTAGCTATTTCACTTTGGAGGTACTTTTGTGCCCCACCTGAAATTACAGTAGAAATTCCAGGAGGCATAAGCCTAATTTTATGCACAGAGAATGTGCAAATATCAGTATGACATGACACTCTTCTTGGCAGAAAGGCAGTTTCTCCACACGCTAATACAGCACAGAATATCTGTATTCATGTAGCAGAGATCAGTAGAACTGTCTGGATAGAAATCTCTTCCATTTCTAAATTGCAGAATGTAAGTGCCATCAAAAATAGCTGGCCACTCTTCCTCCTCCTTTCAGTCTTTTGAGTTTATAAGGCAGGCTGTACCCTCTGCACTTGGTAACTAGACTTGCTACTGGCTTCTCCATCTCTGTTCATGCAGTCTCAGCATACATACCTGAAGAAGTTCGGTGTATATTAATAGTAGAATTCAGCTCCGGGCTTCCTTGATCTAAATAGATTATGGCTTCAATAGGAAGTGGCCCAGCACATTCTGCTCCATTAAAAGTGAAGTACCAGCGCTGACAACAGGCACTTTTGCATTTCAGCCGAAGCGATCCACTGAAGAGAACACGGAGAGCACTGTTGGAGCGCATCTTTGTAAATGTGCATTCCTGAGAGGAGAAAAAAATGCTTTGGTAGCAACCTCTGGGTTTTAACCTACTTATTTTCTATATATTTATATTAAGGAAATAGATTTAGGAATACGTTAGGAATATATTTATATTTATTTCAGAATGGTTTCACTATTCTCTTTAGTCCCTTCCCTCTGGAAAAAATAAAAGAAGAAAAAGGTAGAGCCTGGCAAATACTGTATGGTGCAAAGATGCAAATCAGAAGCAGCACCTCACAGACAGTAATGGAGAAGGGGGATTGTGGAAATTCTTGACATAATTTAGATAATACCTGCTGCTAAGTTGATAACCTTGTTATATTCTGGGGTTTATGTAAAGGCATATGAGCTTTCTGAAGGCTGTACTCACATCCTTGCATGATTTCTATGTCTATTAGTACAATTTCTATGTCTATTACCAGAAATCCTGAATTCACCAATTACAAGATTTGTGAGAGGCTTAATCCCTGCTAAAAGCCCCACAACTGAAAAAGAAACATTTTCAGGTTTTTAAGAGGTTGTTACTTGTCTTCAAAATGCTGGATATCAGGGAATGGGGGAAGCTAGGGACAGTTCTACAAATACAAGGCAATGAGAAATATGAGCTCAGAAAGGTTGATTCTCACTCTAAGCACAGCAATAGCAGTTAAATTTCTCCAACCAATCTGGGCATTGCTTCATAGCTGTGATTGAGCTGGGGTTTCTTGCTCTTTTCCAGGCTTGCACCATTGTGTTTAAAAGTTTTATACCCAAGACTGCAGCGAAGGGCAGGCTGCTTGGGTTAGTCTGGCCCATCCTCAGTAGTTCTGCTCCTTTTTGCAGGTTGCCCAGAGAAGCTGTGGCTGCCCCATCCCTGGCACTGTTCAAGGCCAGGTTGGACACAGGGACTTGGGGCAACCTGGTCTAGTGTCTGGTGTCCCTGCCCATGGCAGAGGGTTGGAACTAGATGATCGCTAAGGTCCCTTCCAACCCAAACCGTTCTATAGCTCTATGAAAAAAGGTCCAAGGGGACACCTGTACAATTGGTGTTACCCAGCTCACAGAGGGGATTGAGACTCTGCTGTGGTTGGTGCAGTGCAGCATCCGCAGCAAAGCTAACTTACTGCTATCTTCCCAAGATCGATGCCATAGTTAAGTGCACTCCATGAACACTGCTTGAAGTTGGGCGTCCAGGACTCCTCAATGCTCTCGCGCATGCATTCGCCCTTCTCCCCCTTCAGCCCATCCCGTCCTGGGATCCCAGGTGTCCCAGGGATCCCGTTGGCTCCCGGGTTTCCATCCCGTCCAGGAACGCCGCTGGGGCCTTGCAGGCACACACCATTGTACTGAAACACAGAACAGATCTTGCTGCTTCCATCCCTCACTCAGAGGCTAACCAAGTCAAACGCGAAGAAAGAACAACAAACAAAGCCCCTGCTGTGACAGGCGATTTCTGGATCACCAAGAAGATGGTTCCACAGAGCAGAATTTGCTATAAATTAAGACGCCAATTATTTTATGAAAAGAGGCATAAATCCTAGAATTAA